AAACCAACACCCACCACACCAAAGCCCACCACAACAACAGCCAAACCAACACCCACCACACCAAAACCCACCACAACAACAGCCAAACCAACACCCTCCACACCAAAACCCACCACAACACCCACCACACCAAAACCCACCACAACAACAGCCAAACCAACACCCACCACAACAACAGCCAAACCAACACCCACCACACCAAAACCCACCACAACAACAGCCAAACCAACACCCTCCACACCAAAACCCACCACAACACCCACCACACCAAAACCCACCACAACAACAGCCACCACAACACCCACCACACCAAAACCCACCACAACAACAGCCAAACCAACACCCACCACAACAACAGCCAAACCAACACCCACCACACCAAAACCCACCACCACAACAGCCAAACCAACACCCTCCACCCCAAAACCCACAACTGTGACTAAGCCAAAACCTGCCATAGATACAACCAAACCAACACCCACCACACCAGCATCTACCACCACTACAGCCAAGCCAACACCTGCTGCTACAGCAGCAAAGCCAAAACCCACCACGACACCACCAGCACCTCCCACAACAGCACAGACACAACCAAAACCTGCCACCACCACAAAGCCAGAGCCCACTGAACCAGCACATCCCAGTCCTACTGAGGCAACTGGGCTGACTCTTTCCTTGGAGCCCACGTTAGACCTGGATTACAAAGCATCTCCAGAAGGAGACACTGGAGAGCCCCTTAGCCCCTTGACTACAGAGGATCCCACCTTAGCAGAGAGCATGGCCGTGGCCTTCAGCCCCAGATCAGTCCCAGAGACAATCAGAGGTGTCAAAGAGGATGGGAAAGAGACACCAGCCCTTTCCAGCCCATCCCCATCCCTCAGCCAAAATGTTCCAGAGATCAAGTTAGGTTTCAATAGAGCTGAGCTCATGACCCCCTCCAAGTCCATGGCCTTCAGCCCTGAAGAACCCACCTTCCTGCGCTTGACATCGTCCTCCAGAGCCAGGAAAGGGCAGAGTCCTGCTTTCCAGAGCTCCCTCTCAGGTAAGCTGGTTGTGGACCCTGTCCTGACATGGACACTGGGACATTCTGTGATCCCCAAGCAGCATGGGGAGTGCTTGGGAGGAACCAGTATCAGCCTGGTCCTCTGGGTCCTCCTCTGGTGTGTGGCACCAGCCCTGCTGCTCCCTCTAACTCAGCCAGGTGAGATGTCTGAAGCATGTCCTGCCTGCTCCTCACTAACCCACCAGCCACCACCTTCTCTGCTCCCTGCACCTCTCTGTGCTTTGGTGCCCATCCCTGATGGACCTGCATGACTGGGAGTTCCTCTTTTGCCCAGATTTCTCCTCTCACTCCATCTTCTCTTCAG